GGGGGGGGGACCTAGGCGGGTGGGGAGTGATGTTTGAGTGTGGGGCGGGGCCTAGGCGGGCAACGTTCAAGCGTGGGGCGGGGCCTCTGCTTAGGACCTGCGCAGAAGGGGGCAGGCAGCACGTGGAAAGGAGGGCCTCTGGAATGTGGGGTTCCCGAGTTTGGAGGTAGGGCCCTGAGTGAGGGTGTTTGGGTGGGGTTTAGGCCCATCTCGTTGGAGGGGGTCTCCGAGTGTAGAGGTGGGGCCCTGGGTGGGGTTTAGGGGCGGGGCTCGGGCTCTGCACGGCAAGAGGGAGGCTCCGAGGGCAGAGGATTAGGCCCAGGAGCCCAACAGGCTTCTCCGTGCCTAAGGGGACAGGGAAAGCACTGGCCTCGTTCCCTTCTGTTTCTTCGTACTCCTCCCCCACCGTCTCCGCCAGGGTCTCCCCCGTCGCCACTGGACCCCTAACCGTGGGTGGGTCCCGCTGGGTACAGGAACTCCTCCCCTCCCCCAGCCGCCCCTCAGGGGTACCGGTCCCGGAGGTCCAGCCTTTACTTTTGCTCCCCCTTCCCTCCCTCCCACTCCCTCAGGACCCGCGCGGCTGGACCTCCTCGGTGGGCTGAGGATCACGCCCGGGATCTCAGCAGGTTCCTGGGGGCCCAAGTGGGCAGGGGAAACCTGGCCACACTCCCTTTTGATCCTCTGTCCTCCCAGTGGTTCCCCAATTTCCCCCTTCGGGCGAGGGATCCCTTCCCCTCCCCCAGCCGCCCTTCAGGGGTGCCAGTCCCGTCCCGCCTCCACTTCTCCCCCTTCACTCCCCCATGCCCCATGTCCTACCCAGTCGCTGGGGGGTTCTTCCTGTCCCCTTAGGTGTCCGTGGTCCCCCACCGGTGCCTGGTAGGTGCCCTAGTTTTGAGGAGACGCGAATTCCGCGTCCTCCTAGTACGCCATCTTGACTGCGCCCCTCCAGAAGTTTTTGAGAGTAAATCCTGAGTTCTCATCACAAGGAAAAATGTTTTTTTCTATTTCTTAAATGTTGTATCTATATGAGATGATGGATGTTCACTAAACTCATTGTGATAATCGTTTCATGATGTATGTAAGTCAAATCATTATGCTGTACACCTTAAACGTATACAGTGCTGTGTGTCAATTACATCTCAATAAAATTGGAAGAAAAAAATTCTGAAGAAGTTATTTTTGTCTAGATTTTTAAAATTCCCAACAATCGATTAAATGTTAGAATAAAGGCAGTTTCACTTGCACACTCTCGAAATTTTACCTTTCATACACTCTTCTCAAGAAGGAGAAAACAAAAACAGGAAAGATGAAGAGTTTGAATTCAGGCCCCAAGAAAAAGATGAAGAGAATCCGTAGGATGAAGGGAAGGGACCTCCCAGGAGACAGTGCTCCACCAGGTCTGAAGGGTGGACTGGAAAAGATCTAAACTGGCAAAGGTCTGAAGGCTCTGGAAGAGATTTCTTCAAGAGGATAGAATTGAGAGCAAAATCTAAACATTTTGAGGGGAGAGTTAAAGAACGACAGTTTGAAGTGAAACTGCTGATAAGTACATAGAAAACTAAACGAAGAAAGTTATTCCTAAGGAAAATGAAAAGTTGTATAAGAAAAAGTAATCTAGACTTACTACATGGCTCCGTTTTCAATATCACCATGTAATCGATAAACACTGATTATCAAACTAAACAGAATTATGATGTAACTATATGGGCAGGGTCCACGTGTGTGCTGTGGGAAGAGAAAAGAATGGAGTTAAAGTCTCGTCTTCTCTAAGGGAAGGTCAGTAGATACTGCTTAAAACTGAGGGATCAAGAAGTAGCAAAATACTAGCATTTTTTGAAAAACCCATTTTTTTTGCTGTGCTGGACTCCTGGTCACACTTCAGTGACTGCAGTGCACAAGATAATGTGGTTGAAGATGATGGGAAGTGGGGGGCCATAATAATTACTAATGTTATAATAGTTTAATGTAGACCGTGTTCATTGGGAATTTAGAAGTGCTTAAAGAATCCCTGAGGTGGGCTGTCGGGAGACTCTTTGCAGGCGGGACCAAGGAGGGGCTGGGAGAAGAACTCACTCTTAAGGAAGAGAGAGTCAGGCATAAGCTGGGTCCAAAGACACTGAGCCCATTTCACATAGAAGAGTTGATCTGGGTACAGCAGAGGCTGATTCTAATTTACCAGGGCCAGTCTCCAATGGCCCTTATTCTAGAGAGTATTGGAAAAACAAAAGAGCAAAAATGCAAACAAAAGTGCCGCTTTGAAGTTTTGTAGCTTAAGAAGCATGGGACAGGCTAAGAGGAAAATGGAAAATCCCTGTGAGGAAATTGGCAATGACACCAATAGCCAGCCAAAGTTGAATGGCTACTATGTGCCCAGCAGGGTGGAGTGTTACGACAGTCCTATCTGGCAGGCACTACTGTTATTATTTTACAGATGAGAAAACCGAGTTCAGAGAGGTTGAATAATTTGTTCAGTATCACACAGCAATAAATTATGGAGCCAAACTCAAACCCAGGACGGCTCGACTTCATAGGCCATATCCTTAAATTTCTTTTCTGATATGATTAAGTAGGTGATTTAATTTCATGCGTTAAAGATTTAGAAGAGTTATTAGAATTATTACGCTGAGAATTCCTTCTCTCACCACTACCACCAGTCACCCAGCTCCCCTCCTCCATAGACAACCAATGTCATTAGATGATGTGTGATATTCCCAAGATAGTTTATGGATTTCACTTTGCTATATAAGCAATAGATTATACATACTGTTCTGAACCTCACACTTTTCCCTTGGGAACATGTCCTGTGGACCCGTCCATGGCGGTACGTAAAGAACTTCCTTGCTCTGTTTCCAGCTGCAGGGTTGACTGCTGTGTGGAGGCACCATGGCTCTGTTTACAGTCTGCAGCAATAGACAACCACGTTTCCATTCGTGGAGTAGCCAACCAGCCAATGCACTTTATTCTGAGCAAATTCCACTCCCTCAGGACGGATCTTGAGGCTCTCCCGTGACAGTTAGGCTCCTTTAGCTGCAAGACACATCAGCACTCTCAGGTCGCCTTGACCCGTGGGGATTTATTGTAAAGACACTAGCAAGAAAGGAAACGGAAACAGCTGGAGAAGCAGGAGGCAGAGCAGCCCCGCCCAGCACCCTTGCCCCCTCTGCTGGGAGGTGCGCCAGGAGCTACCCTTCCTCTGCCGCTAAGGCTCCCAGCCCTCGGCATCATTGGGCTCCCTCTGGTGCACCTGGGTCCAGACCTCCACATGGGAGAGGTCAGGGTCTCCAGCGCCTGGCCCCCGGGCAGGCTCGGGGAGCTGCTGGCCAGTCAGCTGCCCCGGGAGCACAGCGCACCCCCTATCCCCCCCAGGTGTAGCCAGGCTGACGGGGTCAAGTGGGAGAGCATGAGTAGCCAGTGCATAAGGATCCATTTCCTCAGAATGAGCTTGGGACCCCTTGCTCAGAGCAAAAGAGACTCCTTGGTGGCACCCCCTGCCTGGGAATCCCAGAAGTGCTCAGGAGGAATTTGCGTGGGCTGCAAGTCCTGTTGAGCGAGTGAGGCCAGAGTCACAGAGTCCCTCTTGAGGTTACCTCGTTTTGAGACCCAGGCTGATTCAGTCTATGGGGAAAAAACTGATCACATGGAACCACTTATCAGGCTTTCTAGCTTAAAAAACAATTTGACGAACCTTAACTCACCAAAGTCTCCTGAGGTAGGCATTATCGGTAGCGTTCCCATTTTACAGATAAGAAAACTGAGGCTTAGAGAGGTTGCCCGAGATTGCACAGCCAGTAAACGAGACAGAGCTGAGACTCCAACCCAGGTCTTCTGACTCCAGTTTCCCTCCTTCTGATTCCTCATCAAGACAAGCCTTTTTGTCAGCTCCCCTTCCCTCCTGCTCACCTGCTGAATGTCGACACTCCCACGGTTCTCTCTCAGGCCTTCCATTTCTCCCCTTTCTCCATATGCTTTCAGATTATTCTCATTTACTTCCTTCCCTTGGTCTAATTCCAAAAGCTTGATGGCCCCCGGTTTCTCTCTCCAGCCCAGACCTTTCTCCTGAGTTCCATACCTTTATATCTACTATCCTACCAGACACCCACACGTGGCTGCCCAAGTTACCTCCAGTGCAGTGTTTCTAAAATGAAACTCACTGTCTTTCTCTTTCAATGGCTCCTCCTTCTGTGTTCGCTGTCTCAGGAGCAGTAGCTTCTACTTCTGAAGCATCGACCATGTGCCAGTCACTTTATACTGCCAAGATAGTATCATCCCACTTCACAGGTGAAGAAACCAAGGCTGAAAGGTCTGAGCTTACTTGCACAAACTATAATACGAAGTAGTTGACAGAGCCAGGATGCAAACTGAGCTCTATTCTGCATTGCTCCCACTGGGCTAGGCTGTCAGGTAACTGTAGGGCCACAGCTGTTCACTCTGTTAAACAAGCCAGAAGTCATGGGTCATCTTCCCACCTGCCCCAACCCCAGCTTCTCACCCTCACAGCTGCTCCAGAGCCAAGTCCATCCCCAGTTCTACGTCCTAAATATTTCTCAGGTTGTCATGCCTTCCCTCCATTCCTCCATGACCAATCCACTCCCGTAAGTCAACCCCTAAATGATTTCTCCCCCATTACTGAAATAGCTTGCTAGTTTGTCTAGCTAGTAACTAGTTTGTTTAGCTAGTAACTAGTTTGTCTCTACCAACACCCCCCACTTCAAATCCCGTCTCCCTGAGAATGGGTTTCCTAAAATACACCTGATTATTGCCCCTAAGAGCCTCCAAAGTCTTCCTATTACCTTGAGGATGAAAACCCAACTCCCTGTTCCTGCCACGGCCTGTCCATTCAGGGTCTCTGCAACTGTCCATGGCATCATTAATAGAAATGGCTTTATCTTTTGGAGGTTTCCACTAAGCCAATATGCATACACCCTCATCACACATTGCACTGAACCCAGCCATCTATACTGTATTCCAATGAACTACAGAATAATGCTGCGTGAGAGCCATTTGTATACAAAACAGAGAAAGGCTGAAATGTGCAGGAACTATTGGCAAGTCTACAATAATCTATCCTGCTATTATTTGCAATAGTGTGTTTATGTTGTCTTGGGTACCATGTAATTTGGTTTTATGACAGTGTAGCCAATTAGACCCAGGATGGCAGGATGTGAGTGTTGCTGAATGATTTATCCACACCTCAGGGAGAAGTACACTTCATAAACTATCCACAACTGTTCAAGAGAGAGCATGATTTGTGCTCTGCAGGCAAAGCATTCTGTTGTATGCACACTAACATATTAAAGGCTCAGAAAAACCCAGCAATGGAGAAAGTAGAGCAATTTTGTTCTCAGGAATTTTGTTCACAGTTTTCTCTCTGCACATCTATCTAGTAATATCTCCTGAAAGCATTTTCCCTCCACAGATGTTTGGGGGAAGCACTGGAATGGAATGCAGACACCCTCAAGGCTTCTGGAATTTCACCTACTCTGATGTCAGGATGCAAGTGCAGACCTGCCAGTCTCTGCAAGCAACAGCTCTGGTTAACTCCTGCTGGTCCTTCAAGGTTTGGTTCGGGTGTCACTTCCTCCTAGAAGCCATCAGACACACACACACACACATTTGTGACATGTAATCATACGTGATCCCATAACGCCACTCCCTCATAACACTTCTCTGTATTTTCTATTGGTTGATAGAAAATTCAGCTCAGACTAGAACCTGAGGAGAACATACAGGCTCAGGCATCCTGACTGCAGCAGCCTCTACCTCAACCTCTTGGGTTCAAGTTCAGCAGGAAAGCAGGCTCCCTCAGCGGGCCCACCTCTTCAGTCACGTGTCCACTCACTGTGTGTGTGGAGGGGGAAATTAGTTCAGGATTGTTAATACCTGTGGCCTGGACCACAGGTGCCACCTCTGAAGTTGAGAGGAAGCAGCCTCTCAGGTATGGGATGGCTTCCAAGAGAAAAGGTGGAGAAGGGAGGATATGAGATGGCCCTGGACTACCAGTGCACAGCCCAGAGCAAACACAGCCAGAGTTCTGTTTACTTACCGATCTCCCCTGGCTGAACTCCGGGAAGGTGGTCCAGGTCTCAACTCCATATCCAGCCCCGGCACCTTACCTGGCATACGTTGTTTGGAAAGAATGATAAAATGGGGACACAAAATGTTCAAAACAAGACTCCTACCTTGAAGGAGTTTATGGTCTAGTCCAAGAGTTAGTATTCGTACAGTAAAAATCAATGAACTGTGACAGGATGACAGGATATAAGTGCCAAATGAGTAATTGGGGTATTGTCAGACAGAGGACAGAGGAAGGGGACCACAGAAACCTGCCGCCAAAGCCCTACTCTCACTAGCCCCCAGGCCTCAGTAGGAGATTCAGGCAAGCTACCCCCGCAGGGGCCTGCATCCAGGTGGCTGGCTTGCCCCTGCAGAACTCCTGGGAATGGGGTTTTCCAACCTCAGTCTTTGAAATTCTTGGCTTTGAAATCTGAAACCCTAGGCCTCTCCTATTGCTAACTCAAGATTCAACCTAAATAAAATTAATGAAAGAGAACAATGGTTTCTAGCACCCCGTATTTAATAATTGTTTAAAACATGTCCCTATGTGAATATGTGTTTAGACACAATAAAGAGAGTGGGCTCTGTTGATCCTTTTATTCCCAGGAAAGGAGGTTCTAAGGTTAATTTATCTAACTAGAAGCTCTTTGTTAAGAGAGGAAAATTCAGTATGGTATGAACAGAAAAACATCTTGATTCTGACCACTGCTTCTTTAAGCAACTGCTGTCAAGTTGTTCTTCCCTCTCCCTGGATAAATTCCAAGAAAAGTCCCATAGATTTTCCAGTCATTCTATTTATTAATGAATAGTCTCCTTTTTCGAGTATTGGAAGTCCAGTTCAGTCTACCTCAAAGCGATAACCCCACATCCAGTTTACAATTCAGGCCTGACTCAGGCTAAGAAACTCAAAATAAAGGAGGAGGAACATGGAGGACTTCTCCCCAGTTCCTCACCTTGCTCAAATCCTCTTCTGATCCCTCCAGACTTGGAGCAGAGAAGGGGGACAGGGAATGCCAGGAGACTGCTTGATCAGCGCGGGTGTCTGGAACCAGTGCCTGGGTATGTCCTGCCCAGACGCTTACTCGTTCCCATGGGGAGCTTCTGCAGATCCCCCGGAGATCCCGCTGTGAGGACGCACTGCACACAGGTGCTGCTCCTCAAGCTGCCCACGTACAATGGCTCCCAGCCCTGGCTTCTGCCACCCACCCCACCCTGAGTCACTCTGCTGGGGTCACCTTGCCTTGCAGATGGTCCTTTGGGGCAGAGTCCCTTTCAAGGCAACTCAGCACAGCTCTCTTCTGAGGGTCCCCCCGCCGCCATGGAAACTCCCTCCTGAGCCCTGCGGTCCTGTGTGCAGCTCACTGCAGCGCACCCCTTTCCTCAGCCCGCCACCCTAGGCCACTCCAACCAGTCTCTGTATCAGTGGCTCAAGTATCAGTCCCTTTGTCCCTCCAACTCTGGAGGGTACCTGTCGAGCTCTCTGTGGGCGTTTCGAAGCCTCTGAGTTTCACTAGGCTTCTTGTGGGGACCGGGGGGTGTGAGGGGAGAAGCACCTGCCCCCCCATTCCTGCACAGCTCTCACTCTGGAGAACTCCTCCCTGCCTGTCTCTTGCTGGGTCCCCCAGCCTCATCTTACTTAGTCTCCAGGCAGGTGATGGGCTAGCGGTTTCCACACTGATCTCATAATCTCTTAGTGAGGCCTAGATATGCAGCATCCTATTTTCTTTTCCTTTGGGGGGTCTCTGCTGAAACTCTGAACCAGCAGGACTAGTTAGTTGCATCTGACACCCTGGTGCAGGATTCACAGCAGGCTTTCAAACACTTCTGCTGCTCCTCGCTAGCACCCCAAGAGATGGACAGGCCAAGCTCGTCATGAACATCCTCGCGTGTTACAGATGAGGAAAGTGGAAATGTGAGTTACACAGCTACAAGCAGAGGGAGCGGGAGGCTGAACCCAGCTCCTGTGACTCAATCTGCATGCTCTCTCCATGGCAAGAGGCCAGCGTGTGGGGCTGGAAGGATCCCCCAGTGGCCACCTGGGGGCAGCCCACAGCCCAGGCAGGGGGGGACTATGGAGGCCCTCTCCTCACTCATCACCTCCAGCCACGTCGGCCTTCTGACCTTTCTCCAGACACACCAAGTTCTTTCTCCTGCTAGGGCTCCTGTATTAGCTTCCTAGGGCTACCGGAGCAAAGTACCACAAACTGGATGCTAAAACAACCGAAATGTATTCTCATGGCTCTGGAGGCTAGAAGTCAGAAATTAGGTGCTGGCAGGATTGGTTTGTTCTGATGCTCTGAGGCTGAACCTGTTGCGTGCCTCCCTCCTCTCCAGTGATGGCCAGAAATCCTTGGTGTTCCTTGGTTTGTAGATGCATCACTCAAATCTCTGCTCCGTTACTTTCTTCCCCCACACCCTCATGCAAGCCCACACTTAAGACAGATGGAAATCTGATGAATGTACAAAGGCCTCTAAAAATCTCTCTAGGCCCCCAATCTGATGATCTGCCGGCTCCATGATGTCTGTTTTGAAACACTGAATTACAATTCAGGCCCATCTTTCTCTGCCTGACCCTTAATTGAGGGTGGTAACCCGGTCAGAGAAGGGCGATGTCCCTGCCTTCGCCTAGCGGGAGCGATGGCTCATGTGACGGAGAGAGAGGCGTGTTTTCTCTCTACATTAAGTAAACACCAACAAGAGTTAGGTGATCTTCCTACCCCCTGCACTGCCTTGTTCAGAGGAAGGATTTGACTTAACCAAATACAAAACCTGACAGGTGTTTCTCCCAAATGAAATCAGTGGGGAGGAGCTGAAGTGACTTTTCTTTTTATTTAAAGAAATGTAATATTTAAAGAGAGAGTTCTATTGCCCCTCCTTGGGGAAGGGAGCCCTTAATTTTCCCATCAACTCTGACACGTGTGAATCACAGCCCTTTCCTTCCTATAAAAGCATCATGATTCCTCACCAGCCCTGCTAGCTGTGGGCTGCGCTTTATTCTTCTGACAGGGCAGGCTTTCCCACAGAGAAGAACGCTGGGAACACACCACTCCCAGCTGCGTGTTATTACGAGCCAGGCCCCTGTTTACTTCTCAGAGATCGCGGATGGACCAGGATAACCTTAACGCCCGTTTGAGCTTGTGACGTATTCAGAGGGCTCTGCAGAAGGGCTATGCTCCCATCTTCATACGAACCAGGTCACCTGGGATGAGAAAGCAAACTGCATTTTTTTATTTCAAATTTTGTGCGTGAAGAAAAACAGGATTAGTTCTTGAATTAACTTTACTGAAGTATACATTATATACAATTAACTACACCCATTTTATGTATACAGGTTGTTTTGATAAATGGATACACCTGTGCAACCTCCATCCTAATCAAGACGTAGAACATCTCCACCATTCCCCAAAGTTCCCACGTGCCCATCTGCAGTCAGTCTCAGCCACTTCCACCCCAGGAAACCACGGAGCTGCTTTCTATCACCATAGATTAGTTGGCTTCTTATAGAATTGCATCTAAGTGGAATCACGTAGTATATACTCTTTTGTGTCTGGCTTCTCTAGCTCAGTATAATGTTTTTGAGACTCACTAAGGGTTTTGCATGTATCAACCATTTATTTATTCTAATGGCTGAGTAGTGTTCCACAGTATGGACAGATCACAATTGTCTTATCTACACACCTGTTGATAGGTGTTTGGGTTCTTTCCACGTTTGGCTATCGTGAATAAAACTGCTATGAACATGAATGTACAAGTCATTCTGTGGAAATATGCACTCATTTCTCTCACACACCTACTTAGAAGTGGATCAAACTGCTTTTCTAAAATTCATCAAATGTGATGAAGCAGACCATGATGAGGAATTTGGGGGAAATCTGAACATTGTAAGTGATTTATAAAAGAAATTATAATAGTGTAATACAGTGAAAATCCAAATAATGTGGGCTCCTGTAGGATGGGTGATATGGCAGCAGGTACGAGAGTCCTGGAGTCCAGGAATTTAACAGTCCCTTGTTTTTCTCCAGGCTGCATGAGCTTGGACAAGTCCCTTACTCTCAGGAACCATCACAAAATGAATATCTGATCCTTCTCTAAGCTTTAAGATCATCTATTGGAAAATGCTGGATCCTTTGAGAGAACTTTAGCTATAAAAAGCCAAGGTGGCGTACACTGTACTTACAAATATGGACTTAATGCAGGAGGTCAGGCACAGAACAGACACATGGTGGGTACTATTGCGAAAATATAACTAAAAACAAAATCTTCTCCCAACCCAGAAATTCTCTCCACAAAGTAGTGGAGAACAAAATCCGTTTTGTTATTGAACAAGCATTAAACCAGAAGCTGATGCACGGCACAGGCAATCCACCACGGATTACAGAGGCAGACAGAAATCTCACCCTTTTAGAGAGCCACACAGATACAACCCATGACATACATGTTCTCAGGATAAACCATCACTGGTCCTCAAGTCAGAGGACTTGACAGCACCATTGGTCATACTCAGTTCATCCTAACTTTACGTGGTAATTGGGGTGACCAGTTAGTTAGCTAACTGACTTTATCCAGAGGAAAAACAAACTTCTCCTCCTTCCTGACAGGAGGTTGTTTTGCAATTTAGAGGGGGGGGGGGCGCCTGGCCTCCCACCTAAGCTGGAAGACAGGGGCCATCTCCCTTGGTGTTTGCGTTTCAAAGAGGTGCCCGAGGAAGCCATCCCTGGGTCATAAAAGGGACAAAATGCCCATCTAGTCTTTAAAAGGATTTATATCTCTCTCAAAGAAGGAAGAAAGTACTTACAATGACAAGCTTTCTGAAGGAAAGGGAAATCTCTTCCTTTATTTTCAACAGGGAAGATGGAACCCCTTGTTTTTCATTTGCTTTTGTCCTGACAGTACACAGTGAATGTTCCTTAGTCATGCATCTCCCAATCTGGGGCCTCAGGGTTTGGAGTGAGCCACCCCAAGGCTTCTACCCCTGCAACCCGACCCACACAACAGCCTCCGTGCTTAGTGTTCTCTTCCGATCTCACCTTTTCCATCTCTAACTCATTTTTATTCATGAGCTCTCTTCTCCTAAGAAACCACCCTCCTTTTTCCTCCCACTGCTAGCCCAAGGGTCCCTGCAATCCTTCTGAAGCCCCAGAAAAATACCTGATCGGCCCCTCACCTCCGGAGGCCCCCGGGGGTCAAGGGGGACATAAGCGTCGTAGGGACCCAGGGGCCAGGCACTGTTTCGGTTCCATGAGTCAATCTCTGTGCTGGTCGCAGAGAAACTCACTAGCTCCAAACCCGGCCATGACCTGCACACCCTCTTTCCTGAGCTGACTCCCCTATTGTTCTGTCTGAAAAGAGACATCTGTGAGCTGCCTGATCCAATTATGGCAGTTGCTTTCTCTCTAAAATGCCACCAATTTCTAAATGGTTTTAACTGAAATTGGGTGGCTTCCCTTTCTAATTAACTCAAGTGGCCTCTTCCCTGACGGTGACGGCTAAAATTACACCCCACTTCACTCTGAAAGGACTGTCCAAATCTGGGGAATGTGCAAGGTGACCTTTTTATCACCCCTTGTTTATCTGGGCTTGGTTGTGGGGAAGAGAAGGAAGGACACTGCTGGGCAGATGTGTAGTTTTACCCCCTTGGCTGCGAGGGCTGCACTGTGACCTACATGCGTAGTTCCATGCATTTCTGGCCCGCAGAGACTAGCCGACTCGGTGGGTGCAGAGCCAGAGAGTTTGTGTTTGATGGTGTGTGACACTGCGGGAAGAGGAAGACGGTTGATACTGTCATTATTTAAAATCACTTCCACCCACTGGGCTGAGTCACTAGAACGTCACTGCCTGGGATTTTGCATCAGTCTCAAAAATATACCTCTGCAGAGCTTTCCACGCTCAGAAGCATGCCCGTTCCCTCATTCAGGCCCCCTCAAAAGGAAGCCGCGTGGATCTCACGCACAGCTACTCCCTGTCAAGTGCCTCAACTCTCCCTCTGCATCTTCCTGACGACAGTGATGCTGCATGTCTGTGCACACTTGACGTGCCAACCTGAGCTCTGAGGGAGGTGGTGCTATCCCCCTACTCCCACACGCAAGAAAACGAAGATTCCAGGAGCCAGAGAGCAGCCGGGGCTGGAATCCGGGTTCCCTGCCTCCTGGTCTGATCCTGAACCAATAAGAGAGGTAAAGGGAACTTTGGGTCTGAAAACATGGACCCTCCGCGCAACACACACACACACACAAAACAGACCTGCAATGGCCAAATGAAAAGAAACAAAAATCCACTTCGCTGAAAGGATTGAACACTTGACATTTAGTTTCAGATTTCAAAACAAATGAGACCATTTCCTGTTTTTCTTTCTACCCCCACAGTATGATAAATATTCTCTCCCTCCAAGCCCAGAACAAGAGCCTTCCTATAAAGGCTTGGCTGGTTTCCAGGATACTTGTGACTATTCACAAGGAAAAGAAGGATTTCCCAGCAGTAAGTTCTAGTGGTTCAAAGAAAGCAAGCTTGGGGAGAGCCCTGTGTGACTTTGGGCAGTTGACCATGACTCTGTCTCTGGTTACCTACAGTTATTATTATCCCAGGGTTGTTATGAGGATTAAATGAGATAATGAATGTAAAGCACTTAGTACAGACACTTATTAAACCTTCTATAAGTGTTGATGATAATGATATTATAAATTTTCAATAATTATCTCATGCTACATATCTGACAGATACTAGATACTGTGAATAACGGCTCTGGTCTTACTTTTTCTGAGTACCTTCTATAATGACAGCCCTTTAAGATATCCTTTGTAAAAGATATTTAAGCATGTATCTTAAACTCTACTTCCAATAACGCTACCAAAACAAATCTCCTACAATGCAAACATTTATGTTTGTCCTATGGGTAACTGGAGCCCCCTACTGTCAGGGGAGCCCTAACTACCTGGTTTTGGGTTTTTTTCCCATTCAATTCTCAGTGAAACTCCTAGGAACCTTCTAGGAGTCCTGGAAAGGCTCAGGAGGATTGGTTAACCATGACAACACATCCCACACTGCTAAGACCATGAGAAAACCAGCCCTCTCCATAGTAACAGGGCATGCTCTCCAAGAGTGCGGTTAAGTTGGGATTTCTTGATGCTTCTTGAGTACTCTAGAGCTTCCCCCCCAGATAGAAGCCTCCATCCTCCTCATCTCCTCCCAAAGAGCTGAGCCCCCTCTTGCTGCCCTTCTGTACCTGAGGTGTCTTGGGGGCTCTTTGCTGCATGGATACCAACCAGAACTACCCGTGGCAGACACCTCATTGTCCCCACTCTGCCCTGCTCTGAGGAAGGGATGGAGCCTGGGAGCCTCCCTCCACCTCCTACCCTTTAGAACAGCCGTCCCCAACCTTTTTGGCACCAGGGACCAGTTTCGTGAAAGACAATTTTTCTACGGACTGGGGCGGTGGGGGGGGGGATGGTTTGGGGATGATTCAAGCGCATTACATTTATTGTGCACTTTATTTCTATTATTATTACATTTCAATATATAATGAAATAATTATACAACTCACCATAATGCAGGAATCAGCGGGAGCCCTGAGCTCGTCTGTACTTGCCACTCACTGATAGGGTTTTGATATGAGTCTGCAAGCAATTGATTTATTACGGTCTCTATGCAGTCAAGCCTCTCTGCTAATGATAATCTGTATTTGCAGCCGCTCCCCAGTGCCAGCATCACTGCTTCAGCTCCACCTCAGATCATCAGGCATTAGATTCTCATAAGGAGTTTGCAACCTAGATCCCTCGCATGTGCAGTTCACAGTGGGGTTCTCGTACCTATGAGAATCTAAATGCCAGGACTTCCCTGGTGGCGCAGTGGATAAGATTCCACATTCCCAATGCAGGGGACCCGGGTTTGATCCCTGGTCAGGGAACTAGATCCCACATGCATGCCACAACTAAGGGTTCACATGCCACAACTAAGGAGCCCGCGAGCTGCAACTAAGGAGCCTGCCTGCCACAACTAAGACCCGGCTCAACCAAATAAATAATGTTTAAGAAAAAAAAGAATCTAATGCCGCTGATGGGGAGCGGCTGTAAATACAGTTAAAGCTTTCCTCGATCGCCCACTGCTCACCTCCTGCTGTGCGGCCCTATTTCTATCAGGCCACCGAGCAGCACCGGTCTGTGGTCTGGGGCTTGGGGACCCGTGCTTTAGAAAGTGAGGTCTAAAATCGGCAGTGGAGGGATCCAGTCACGTGACATTGGCAAGGGCTGGAGTAGAGACGTGCCATCTGCACAAAATTCAGACCAGCACTCCCATTGCTGATGAGTGGCTACTCAAATGAAATGTCCAGGTCCACCTGTTTGGTCATCTGAGAACTATAATAATAACATAACAACAGACAGACAGACGTATACAGCACTCTGTGCCAGGCGTGGTTCCAAGCACATTACGTGTATTAAGTCCTCCGTCTTCTCCTCAGGCCCCAGGATGGGGAGAGTGTGAATTCCTTCCAGGTCCTGGGGTAAGGAGGCACGGCAGGTAAAAGGAGGAAGGAAATGAGCGAGCTTTCTCTTTTCTGGAACATCTGCGGACTTGGAACCCCTCCCTACCTGCTCTGAGATGTTCTGGCTTGACAGCAATTCAGCCGATCTTGTACTTCAGAAATGCAGCATCTCCACGTATTTTCCCCCTGCAATGCCTGGTGCCCGTCCCAGCACCATCACCAGACCACCAGGTGGCCCCGAGGTTGCGCTTGCCTTCTCTGAGTCTCAGTTTCCCAGGTCATCGTCAGCGCCCTAACCTAAGCAGCTACCTCCATGTCCTCCGGCCTCAGAAGAATGAAAGACCCTCTATCCACAAGGGAAGGTCCAAAATGGACCCCTGAGCTGCAAAGTAGATAATATTTTGAGTCCTTTCAACATTGCCCAAGGAAAAAAAACAAACAAACCCATGAGTTTTTTCCAGAGTCAGAATTTTTTCTTTTGCTTTGTATCTCCTACAGCTAACAGTGACCAACACACAGTTGCCACTCAGCAAATGTCTACCCTGGAAATGAATGAATGATATATTTGTCCCACTGAGCACACTCGGAACTCCATTCAAGACTACCAGGGTTCAGTGCGTAGTTGATGAGGAGCTGGTGGTGGGCATTTCTAACCAGAACACAGTACCAATACGTGAGGGCAGAGATTGTGGAAAAGAAATACGTTGAGATTGTGGAATTATAAGATCCCTTGTTCACCTGCCAAAAACAGTTTGAGGGCAGACGTGTTGATGATGAGGGCAGAAACAGGCTGTCCTTTAGAAGCCCTGTCATTTCAAGGATTTCCCACCAGGTCAAAATTTCAGAGAGATTCCTTAAGGGGTCAATAAATGGATGCTGGGAGAAGAAATGAAGCTCTAGCTGCTCTCAGTGCTGTCAAACCTACAGGATTCCCCAGAATGAGCCCCCAGCTGACACCAACATGCCCAAGAGAAAGACCCACGGAGATAAAATGCGAAGGGAGAGATGAACAGGTTGAGAGCTAAATCTGCTCCTGTGAAAGGTGGAGAGAAAAGTTACCCAAAGGGAAACTCATGGAGATCGTGGAGACGCCTTATGAACGCATAGAGGGTTGAGGGCACTGAAGAGGCCAAGCAGAGAGGTGCGCTTTTAAAATAACCGATAACTGTATGTCGTTTTGATTAAATATTATTATTTTACCACGTTTTTTCAAATGCAAATTTCAGTTTCCTGTGTTTTGCAACAGCAAAAAAATATTCACTGTCATATATTCAATGTTACTGTAGCCTTTGAGGAAGAGGAAATGTACCAGAAGCTGAGTTCAGATGAATCCAAAGAAAATCCCATTGCCCAGCATCTGTGGCAATGCCTTTTGAATTTTCAAGATTTTCCGGAAATCCATACACATCGGGTGCTTGACGGGCAGGCAGTTAGCTTTAAAAGCAGGCTTCTGCTTCACTGTCTACCATAGATAGCATCAAATAAGCCAAGAGGCAGGTTGGGACCCCCTACAATCAATTCTACTGGACACAGCATTAGCCAGTCGGGCTTCTGGAAGGGCATCAATGAAAAGGCATTTTTCTAAGCTCCCCTGGTCCAAAGCAGGGCCTTCCCCAGTCTGGCTCCCCACTAGCTCTGGGAACTGCTCTCCTTCTAGTTTGCCCGTTACTCATTCCATTCCAGCCACACTGACATAAACTGTATTTATCCATGCCCAGCGATCTCCTGCCTCAGGGATATTTGCACTTGCTGTTCCCTCTGCTGGGATGCTCCCACCCCATGTATCTGTATGGCTCCCTCCTTCATCTCCCTTGTTCAAATCTCTCACTTTCTCAGGAACCCTGATATCCCATTTATAACTACACCCTTCCCCCCACATCTCCAGCTTTCTGTCTCCATTGCACTTGTCATCTTCTTACATTCTCTGTTTTACTTGATTTGTTGGTTGTCTGTCTTCCCCTTCTAGAAAGTAAAGTCCTTAAGGGCAGGGATTTCTTTCTGCTTTGTACACTGCTATAACCCTAGCACCTAGATCCTGGCACACAGTAGGCTCTGAAAATATTTCTTAAATGGGTGAAGCAAATGAAGAGTACTTATTGGATTTGAAAGTGACTTTACCTTTTTCACAGATCACAAAGGGGCAAAGCTTAAAAAAATTTAAATGTTATTTGTGATTTTTACCCATGTCCTTCTTGAAATATTAATATTATGAATGTTTACCACAAGCTTCTCTAAAAAGGCTACAGTTTTAAAAATGGATACAAGGTTTAAAATAGTAAATGATACTGTTTTCTTTCCTTCTTCTTCTATCTGCCTCATCCTCTCCACCATCACCATCACCTTCCCCCACCCCACCCCTGCCCTCCACTACAACATATACATCCTCTTGGATGTTTCCCCACTTAAGCATCTAGACTATTTTGTAAATTGAAAAATACCATGATGGAAGGAGAAAAAAAAAAGAGTCTGTTTTTAGTTTTAAAAGCCTAGGCCCTGAGAAAATTCAGAGCACAGAAAAATCATGAGTATGGGCCAGATATTTATACCCTCAGACTAGAAAAAGATTGTCCAGGCTACTGGGGGCAGAGACTAGGAGGACAACAGGAATGAGGGGGGAAATGGAGAGGTCAGCAGAGCCCGAGACAAGGGGCCCTTATACATGAAACGGTCTCTGGCTGAGGAGCTAAGTCAACATCCTCAGCCTCCATCCACCCTTTTGGTTGCAAGCAACATATCTGTCTAAAGATAGCTTAACAATGAAGACACTTAGTCATCTTATATGAAGTGGTTTTTTTTCTGCCTGCGCCGCATGACATGTGGGGTCTTAGTTCCCCACTGTGCAGCTTAATGTCATCAAGGACCCAGGCTCGCTCTTCTGCTATCTCAGAGGATTGGGGTTTTTCTTAGGATTGTCAACTCGTGGAGGCAATATGGCTGCCATGGCTCCAGGCATTACATCCTCATATAACTGCATCCAAAGAAGAATGAAAGGAGATGGGAGAGAAGAGTTCTTCTTGTGCATATTTCTTTAGCAGGGAGGAAAATCTTTCCTAGACACTTTTCAGCAGTCTTCTCTTTACATTTTATTGATGAGGACTGGGTCACCTACCCTCCCCAAGCTGCAGTGGAGGCTGGGAATGTCTGGCATATTCAGTCTCCATTGTAGGAGGTGAGTTCTTCCAACAGGGTATGAAGGGAAAAGGAATTTGAACAACTCTATGGAGAGACAACCAACAATGTAAGCCACAACCTCCCTGATACCAGGTTGTCTGTCATCCACTAGCCATCCTCCACCCCACCATTAGACAGGGGGCACCTGTCTGTGTCCAAGACTTGGTCCTTTTCTCACTTACACTTTAATGTCCCAGGACAGGCATAAAGCCTCTTCAAGGAGAGGAGGTCCCTAGACACTTGTCAAGGTGATGGAATTGGAGGAGGGAAATGTTCCACATTTGTATCTGGAGGCTAATGGGAGTACTTGCTCAGGATTCAACTCCTTGCTACCCCTCCAAGCCAGGACACAAAGGCCTCCCCAGCCCAGATCACACTAGAACATGGAAGGCTCTTAGCCACTTCAGGCCCTGCTATCAGAATGATCACTAGCAAAATACCATGAGAAGAGTGAATCCAAAATTGAATGCTTTTATTTTGCAACTGGTAGTTTATACCTTTTAATCTCCCTCACCTATTTCTCCTCCCCCCTCCCTCCTCCCCTCTGGCAACCACCTGTTTTCTGTATCTATGACTCTGTTTACATTTTGTTTTTTTTGTTTTGTTTTGTTTTGCGGTACGCGGGCCTCTCACTGTTGTGGCCTCTCCCGTTGCGAAGCACAGGCTCCGGACGCGCAGGCTCAGCGGCCACAGCTCACGGGCCTAGCCGCTCCGCGGCATGT